AACTAAGATTAGAAATCGGCTAGATACAGATCACCTGGAGAATTTAATGAGAATCAAACTGCACATGTCTACTGGGAATAATATTTTGTTTTCAAATTCTGGAAAACTGAGAAAGGAAGAAGAGAGAAGTCCAATTAAAACATTCGCTGTAATGAGACTTAATACTGTTTTCAGTTAGAATGTTTAAATTACTCTTAAAATGTAGTTTAAAAAATTCATTCTGAGATTCTCACAAGGTTATGGTTACATTTTATGTTTGTATGTTCCTTATGTTCGATCCTTAGGCAGGTAGACAGCTGGGTGGCGAACCCGCGTAATGACTGTATGGTGACTTGCCTGCTTGGTGCGAAGGTAGCAGACATTACGCATGTTTTAGATAGGCTGGTAGATAGTGCTGGGGAGGAGCCAGTGGTCGTGGTGCATGTCGGCACCAACGATGTGGGGAAATGCAGTCGTGAGGTCCTGGAGGAGAAATTTAGGCTGCTGGGCAGGAAACTTAGGTCCAGGACCTCCAAGGTAGCCTTCTCAGAAGTGTTACCTGTTCCACGCGCAGGGCCGGAGAGACAGGCAGAGATCAGGAGTCTCAATGCGTGGATGAGACGATGGTGTAGGGGGGAAGGGTTCAGGTTTGTTAGGCACTGGGATACTTTTTGGAACAAGAGGGAGCTGTACAGGCGAGACGGTCTCCACTTGTCCCGAGAAGGAACCAGGCTGCTGGCACTTAAAATCAAAAAGGTGGCAGAGCAGCTTTTAAACTGAATATTGGGGGAAAGCCGACAGGAGATGAAAAGTCTCTGGTTCGGGTTGGCTCATCTGAGAGAGGTGAGGGGGTACCGGTTGCTTTTCTACAGGGAGGTGGATTGAAATTGTCCACAGAGGCCATGGCTGGTGACATGGACTGCCGGACAACGACTCGAGATAGCAAGAGGAAGGATGCAGGCTTAACTTGTAAGGGAAATTACAGCTGTTTCTATACAAATGCTAGAAGTGTCCGAGGTAAAATCGGGGAGTTGGAGTGCTTGGTGTCGGAGGGAAAAATAGACATTGTGGGTATTTCTGAAACTTGGTGGGATGAGGAAAATCAGTGGGACACAGTGATTCCCGGTTATATATTATATCGGAAGGATAGGGGGGGAAGGGTTGGAGGTGGGGTAGCTCTGTATGTCAGAGAGGGTATAAAGTCTAGAAAGATTGAGAGGCTAAGTGAATTGGATTCGCTTCTGGAAGTTCTATGGGTTGAAATAGGGGGGCCAAAAGGAAACTTAACACTGGGAGTTTGTTATCGCCCACCAGATCAAAAGATAGAGGAGGATTATAAAATGATGAATGCCTTAAAGATAGCAACTAGACAAAAACACTGTGTAATAATAGGTGATTTTAACTACCCACACATTGATTGGGTCAATATGTGTTCTAGTCGGGAAAAAGAGATTGAGTTTCTAGACACTCTAAATGACTGTGCTATGGAGCAGATGGTCACGGAACCTACCAGGGGAGAGGCGATCCTTGATTTGGTCCTAAGTAACACTCAAGACCTGGTGAGAGATGTAAAAGTGATTGCACCGCTTGGAAACAGTGATCATAATGTTGTTGAGTTCATCATTTGTACAAATAGAGAATTGGCCAAAAAGACTCACACAACCATTTTTAACTTTAAAAGGGGTAATTTCTCTGATATGAGGGGACACGTGGGGAGGAAACTGAAAGGAAAAGTAGAAAGGGTCAAAACAATTGGGGAAGCTTGGGATCTATTTAAAACTACGATCCTAGAAGCTCAAAAAATATATATTCCGCAGGTTAGGAAAGGCACAAACAGGTATAGGAAAAAGCCTGCATGGTTAACAAACAGAGTAATGGAGGCTGTAAAAAGTAAAAAGAATTCCTTTAAGCAGTGGAAAGCTAGTCACAGTGAGGCTGATAAAACGGAACACAGGCTATGGCAAATAAAATGCAAGTCTGAGGTCAGGCAGGCAAAAAGGGAATATGAGGAGCATATAGCAAAAAACGTAAAAACCAACAATAAAACTTTCTTCAAATACATTAGAAACAGGAAACCAGCCAGGGAGGCAGTGGGGCCCTTGGACGACCAAGGGGTAAAAGGAGTATTGAAGGATGATAGGGAAATGGCTGAGAAGCTAAATGCATTTTTTGCCTCCGTCTTCACTGTGGAAGATGAGAAGTGCTTGCCCACTCCAGAACCACTGATTTCAGGAGGGGTGTTGGAAGACCTGAGTCAGATTGAGGTGATGAGAGAGGAGGTCCTAAAACTGATAGACAACTTAAAAACTGAAAAATCACCAGGCCCAGATGGCATACATCCGAGAGTTCTGAAAGAACTCAAATGTGAACTTGTAGATCTCCTGACAAAGATATGTAATCTTTCCTTAAAATCTGCCTCCATTCCTGAGGATTGGAAGGTAGCTAATGTCACTCCCATCTTTAAAAAGGGTTCCAGAGGAGATCCGGGAAATTACAGGCCAGTCAGTCTGACGTCGATACCGGGTAAATTGGTGGAAACCATTATTAAGGAAAGAATTAGTAGGCACATAGATGAACAAAACCTATTGAGGCAGACTCAGCACGGTTTCTGTAAGGGAAGATCTTGTCTCACTAACCTGTTAGTGTTCTTTGAGGGGGTGAACAAACATGTGGACAAGGGGGATCCAATAGATATTATTTACCTTGACTTCCAGAAAGCTTTTGATAAAGTTCCTCATCAAAGGCTCCTAAGTAAGCTCAAAAATCATGGGATAGAAGGACAAGTCCTTTTATGGATCAAAAACTGGCTAGTTCATAGAAAACAGAGAGTGAGTGTAGGTGGGCAATTTTCTCAGTGGAGGGTGGTAAGCAGTGGGGTACCGCAGGGATCAGTACTTGGTCCACTGCTTTTTAACTTGTTCATTAATGATTTGGAGATGGGAGTAAGCAGTGAAGTGGCTAAATTTGCGGATGATACAAAGTTGTTCAGGGTGGTGAAAACCAGTGAGGATTGTGAGGCACTCCAAGGGGATCTGTCAAGGATGGGCGAGTGGGCGTCAACATGGCAAATGGGGTTCAATGTGGCCAAGTGCAAGGTGATGCACATTGGAGCCAAAAATCCTAAATATAAATACACATTGATGGGGTCTGAACTGGCAGAGACTGATCAAGAGAGAGATCTTGGAGTTGTAGTGGATAACTCACTGAAAATGTTGAGACAGTGTGTGACTGCAATAAAGAAGGCCAATGCTATGCTGGGGATTATTAGGAAGGGTATTGAAAACAGATCAGCCAATATAATAATGCCCCTATATAAATCAATGGTGAGACCTCATTTGGAATACTGTGTGCAGTTCTGGGCACCACACCTTAAAAAGGATATTATAGCTTTGGAAAAAGTGCAGAAAAGGGCAACTCGAATGATAAAAGGGTTGGAACACTTTCCCTATGAGGAAAGGTTAAAGCGCTTAGGGCTCTTTAGCTTGGGGAAACAACAACTGAGGTTTACAAGATTATGCATGGGATAGAGCAGGTAGATAAAGAGGTACTTTTCTCCCTTTCTCACAATACAAGAACTCGTGGGCACTCCATGAAACTGCAGAGCGGTCGGGTTAGAACGGATAAAAGGAAGTACTTCTTCACCCAAAGAGTGATTAACACATGGAATTCACTGCCACAGGAAGTGGTGGCGGCTACAAGCATGGACGGCTTCAAAAGGGAATTAGATAAGCATATGGAACAGAGGTCCATCAGTGGCTATTAGCCACAAGGCATAGATAGGAACTCTCAGTCTGGGGCAAGTGATGCTCTGTCTTCTTGGTGCTTGGGGGAGTCAACAGTGGGAGGGCTTCTAGTGTCCTGGCCCCACTGGTGGACCTCCTGATGGCACCTGGCATTTTTGGCCACTGTGTGACAGAGTGTTGGACTGGATGGGCCTTTGGCCTGATCCAACATTGGCATCTCTTATGTTCTTATGATTTGTATGCTCGTAAACTGAAATTTAAAAAAATTAAAATGTAGGCTGGCTCATAACTTTTATGGTTTGCTCACAAAGAAATATTTTTGCACACAGAGCTTCAGAGCTTAGAGGGAACATTGGTCTGTACCCCGGCAAACATTTTAATGTTGTTGTACATATGTTTTAGCTTGTTTTTAATTGTTTTAATGATGTGTTTGTTTGGTTTTAATGGTTTGTAACATATGTTTTTATTACAGGTTTTAATCTGTCGGCTGACTTAGTGCTCCATATGGGGGCAGAAAAGTGGGGTATAAATTTTGTAAATAAATAAAAATAAACAAACAGAGCATAGACTTGAGAATGAGTAGTAGCTACACTCAGTAGTCAGAGAATGAAGTAAGCTGCTTTGCTCCCCATTAATGAGAAAGACAGAACTTTGCCTAGGAAGAGGCTGCTGAGAGGGGAGGAGATAAAGTTGCCAACTTTAGGTATGGAAATTCCTGGAGATTTCAGGTGTGGAGCCTGGAGAGGGTGGGTTTGAGGAGGGGTGGGACCTTAGACAGGTACACTGGCACAGACACCACACTCTGGAACTGTCAAATGTGTCCAGAACCAAAGACAACAATTACTCTCTAATACCATAAGGCATGCTGTTCTTCATTCCCACATTAGTTCTTTACACTGCAAAACACTACTCTGTTTTTACTCTGCCTGCAAGATACAAAATCATTGACCCCACCCTCTTTCTAGAGCTTGTTGTATTTTTCCCCACAATGGGCCTTATTCCTAGTATTTCATATTTTAATTCTTCTACAAAGAGGTCCGAAGCACCCACATTACTAGACAGAAAGGTCATGTGTGTAATCAGCATCAATAACTGTACTTATTCATTTATCAATTATGTTTGGACACATCTTCACTCTCTTCACCACCCTATCCCTAGTATTCAGTTTATCAATTACATATTTGTCTGATGTACCAGACAAGTCATGTGGACAAGTGGTTTAAATATTTTAAACAAACAAATGTGTTAAAGTTGTACTTTAAGTTGTGCTTTACTTACTTCACCACAATATTTCCTAACGTATTTGCTTTTACTGGTTGCTTGTTGTCATCAAGAATGATCACTGCAACAAGATACAGCATAACAAGTGGTTACCAAAGTAAGGGTTGGTTTTCTCTAAGTAATATTTTTCATAACAGAGAAGAAATTCATGTTTAATTGCAATGGCAAATGCAAGTGAACAAAGCAATTACAATCATTTGAAATGTCCTATTAGATTAGCTCATTCCTCTTGTTAGCAGATCAGACTGAAAAAATGAGTTTTAAGCAGAAGATTCTGAGTAAGAGTTGGACAATGCTGGAATGCAAATTACATTTTTTTAAAAGTTTGCAGAGGATAGAATGGGAAATCTTCAGAGAGAAAACCCTAAAGAAATTATTATAGTTTGTATAATGATGTAAGAAATTTTTTTTAAACCCTGCCTCACAAACACAGACAACGAAACAGCAGCTCATAGTGACAGACAGGAAAACAAATCCAAACAACATTTGGGAATAATAACTAAATAAGGCCTCTACTAGAGATGGTGCTGTCTCTTTGGTACCAAATAGCCATGACTGCCTTTGTCCTACTTTGCCACTGGTCTAAGGTTGCCAACTGGACAGGGGGGGAATGTTCTATCCGATTAATAGAGGTGTAATGTGTGGAAATGGACAGCTGACACTTTCATGGCATGAAATTAAATAACATCACCTAATAAATGCTTGCATATCAAACTGATATTAAAGGAACAGCTAAAGGGACTGGTTTAAAAGTTTGCAATCCTACCAACCAGTTCCTTCACCTAGTCTTCTTTTCTACCTGCTGCTGTACAAAATGCTTTTACGGCAGCCTACAGCAGAAGAGGAGATGGGACAAAGGGGCAAGTAAAGGAGATGGAAAAGCACTGCCATAGTGGATGCCAGTGCACAGCTTGTAGGAGTCACACGCTCACTCAGTATACAGACCCAACAGCCTTCTCTTATAAGAGTGCTCTGAAAGGACAGAGGCAAATGTATAATTGTTTATAATCCTTGTCAGATTTATTTCTTGCCATAACTGATGGTTCTTCTCAAGTACCCTTTGCCCCAATGGCTTGCCCTCTCAATAACTGCTACAGCTACCAACACAAGGGGCAAGAAAAATATAGCTAATTGTTTTACATTTTCATTTTAAATTTTTATTTTTCCTGCCTTTTTATTGTATAAACATGGTCGTATAAACATAGTTGACTATTTTCAAGCAAACTGAGCACTTCTTATATAAATTACATGACCTTAAAAGTAATCATAATTTTGTTTCAAGAGTAGATTTACTATTTCAGGCCAAACCATAGTAAAGGTAAAGGTTCCCTTGCTCGAAAGCCAGTCGAATCCGACTCTAGGGTTGCGGTGCTCATCTCCGTTTCAAAGAGTAGATTTACTATTTTAGGCCAAACCATAGTACACAGTTATGAAAACATTGTACCATTTTGAATCTTATGACTGCACATGTTCTCATCTGATTTTGTTTTCCACACCAGAAGCAGCAGCAGCAGCAGCTATTGCCTGTCATGCCTGATGCTGCTTCAAAGCCTACATTTCCTACAGCTTAAAAAAAAACGCTGCATGTGAGAGATAATGTTCATAACATTCCTTTCAAATATCAACTTGTGCAGAGGACTGTTTCACTGACAAAAGTGGGTCCCAGTCAGTTTACATTAAAAGCATTTGCATATGTGCCAAGTTCAACAAGTATTTTTGATCCCTAACAACATGTTTGTAGAGGTCACCAACTTTACATCTAGTGGCATCTTTATGCACTATAAAAACATGCTAATTCTACTTAGTACACACATATAAAACACTTAGTACACAAATATAAAACACTACATCTCAGTGTTTACAGTACTGGTTTTATAGAATACAGGGAAGTTTTGAAAAGAGGTATATTCCTTAGGATCTCACTACATGGTACACTGTTTCCAAGCCCACCTTGAGACCCCTGTCAAGCCAGGCATGCTGGGAGTTCTATGTTTGGACCTCACCTGAGAAGACCCCAGAGAGCCACTATTTGCTACATCCAGGAAATGTAAGTGCACTGTTTCTCAAATGGGTCAAACAGCAGCTCCCTGAGGCCATACCAGTTCAGAAGAATGACACGGGGGAAGACTTAAGCCCCCTCAATCCCAATCAGGCCCCAGCACAAGAATTGCATTTCAACGGAGAACTTTCACCCTGTAATATGTCTGGTATGACAGGACTCCTGGCAGAGGTGGGGGGAGGGTGGCATTCTGATGTACGTAAAAGACTTCCCTTAACAGCATCCAAATCAGCATAAAGTCAGGCACAACTCTGAACATGTAATCGATAATGTGTTCATGGAACTGTCCTGACTTTGACAATGACCTGAATAGGGTTTGTAAACAATTACCTGTTTGTAGCCTGATAGTGAAATTATGTGATTAATTGAATTTTCTGAATTGATCCTCCTCCCACTTACCTTTCTTCTCTTGATCCACATTTGGCTACTTTGGGCTTTTGTGCATAGAACTATTGACCCGTGTATGGCTAGGGTACTTCAGGAGGGAAAACCCAAGTTCCAGTCATAAACTGGATCAACATCTATGATGCTGTAATAAGCATCTATTCTAGGAATGGCAACAAAAAATCATTGCCGCTTTGGGTAACTACTGAGACACATTTTCTAAATTGGAATGTTGCAGGGAAAATTAGATTTAGCAATTATCCCTTTTACAGGTTTTCTATTTTGCTATGAAATATAAATGTTGATGCAGTTCAAGAAGGCAGATAAAGGTTGGGTTTGGGTCCTCAGTTGTTAAATACAGCCACAGTTCCGCTTAAGCACAAACATCACATTTCTAGTTTACACCTTCAGGCAGCCAAAGGCTCATTATAGACATTGAGCCATATTCTATCTTACTGTACCATATAGTTGCAACTGTACCATTATATCCTGGGACCAATCTTCCAGTCTGTCCTGGTGGAGGTGTAAGAGAGTTTCCCAAGCCAACACAGGAGGCAGTTATAGCAGAACCTGTTTCTACAGAATAGATAAAATTGTTGTAAAATCTGTAGTCAATAGGATACTAGAAGGAGAAACATGTTTCCCCCCTTATCCCATTCCTCACATTATTTCCTCTTTATCTCCCCCTAGCCCCTATAGCCTCTCACTTTTCTCTGGTTCTGTCCTTCCTACCCACCCACATTTATTTGTCTCTCCCTAGTTTTCAGGTTTCCTCACCTTTGCTGTCCCTGTCCCTACAGCTTCTCCTACTTTCTCCCCTCCCACCCACTCACCTACCTTTTCCTGTTCTCCCCCTTCAGCTTCACCTCCTTCTCTCTCTTAAATCTTTTACCACCACAACCAACAGTAAGCATGGAAGCCTCAGCAATATTGTGTTATGACTGCCTAGCAATCCCCTAAAAGGGCACTAAGAGCTACCAATATAGTTTCGTGAGATCTTGGTGGGCATTCATTTTTAAAGAAACAGGTGTTGCTTCTATTATTGGGGAGCGAGTAGCTTCCCAATATGTTGGATCCAATTTAAATTTTGCATCAGCAGAAGAGAACTTTTCTGTCTCCCACTTCCCACTGACCTATTTTCGGTAAAAAACAAATATCATAGCTTATTCAAGGTTCTAATGGGGTGGGAGGAAGCTTCATCAGTTGTTTTTCTCTATAAAGCTTGAATAGATAGAAATCATTATATCGTATGATATATACCTCTAGGCAGCCTCCAGAAAACATTCTATTTAAAGAGGCTCTGCTATGTGAAATTACAGGCCTGGCTCCCTGGCATCAGGTACCATTAATAATAGTATCAATTTCACAGCTACTATGCAAGCATTTGATCATTGGTGCTGTCAAGGAGTCCAAGGCTGAACCCTATGGTTCCCAGGGCTGATGTACACAAGTAGCCAAACAAGTAGCCAAATTATATAAAGTTTTATTTAATATATTTCAGAACAAAATGTTTAATCTACAGGTAACACAACACTCTAAAATCAGCAAGAAAAAGAAGAACTAGCTAAACTACCTAACATATTTCCAAGACCTGTGTTAAATAGCACAGACTTTAAGTTCAAGAGGCAAAGACCTTATGCATTCTCTGCCTTGCTGTCTATTGCAAAATGAGTAAATCACAGTCCAGGCCTTCAGTTCATCAGAATCCAAGGTAGCGTCCTTTCTCCAGGCTCTTAGTTCAATTATAGTTTTTTGGCCAAGCAGCTACAAACTATATTATACAAAAGTACAAAATGTTTATTAGGATGTATACATAACTATACCTAGCCATTCGAAAGCAAGAAATTGCAAGTAGATAAATAGGTACCACTTTGGTGGGAAAGTAACAGCGTTCCGTGCGCCTTGGTGTTTAGTCATGCTGGCCACATGACCACGGAAACGTCTTCGGACTGCGCTGGCTCTTTGGCTTTGAAACGGATATGAGCACCGCAACCCTAGAGTCGGATTCGACTGGCTTTCGAGCAAGGGAACCTTTACCTTTACCTATACATAACTAAAACATACAGCGGTTAAAAGAAATAGTCTAAGTTTCAAACGTAAAAGGCTTGTACAACCAAGTTAGTTATTATACAAATACAATTGATGGGTAAAATCTTTTTACCTAAGGACCATACATGTTTCGGCCCCTTCGGGCCTTCCTCAGTGGTCAGTATTCTTTATATTACAATGACACACATCCAAAAATGTACACATAAGAAATTTATATATATCCAGATGTTGTTTTCTGAAATTATTTCAAGACCTGTTAAAATAAGAATTGGGGAGCATAAGAGTTGCATCAGATTAAAGAAATGGAATGAGTAAATCACAGTCCAGGCCTTCAGTTCATCAGAATCCAAGGTAGCGTCCTTTCTCCAGGCTCTTAGTTCAATTATAGTTTTTTGGCCAAGCAGCTACAAACTATATTATACAAAAGTACAAAATGTTTGGATACACCATCTACAGACATTAAGTCCCCAAGGACTGAATGAAGAAGTGGATTGGACTTGCTGCCTTTGAAATTATGTATATCTGTCATTCTGTAGCTGTTAATGCTCCCAAAAAAATTTTTATTTTGGATTAACATGTTCAACATTTAACACACATCCAACAAATCCGTTTCCTTTTATCTCCCTTTTTATGGCTTCCCGCAATGCTTCCCCCTGCCCCCATATACTCAGATTTCAAGGTAACATTTTGCTTACATTTTCAACATTCCTACATTTCTACATTTCGACCTTAATAGTTATCTAAGTACAATATAGTATTTTTGACATCCCGATTCTTTTCTAGATATTCTTTAAAATCTTTCCATTCTTCAAAAAAGTCTTTATCTTCTTTGTTATCCAATTTCTTTGTTAATTTGTCCATTTCCACCATATATAGAACTTTCTGTATCCATTCCCATTTGTCTGGTATTCTCTCCTGTTTCCAGCATTGTGCATATGTCATTCTTGCCGTGGTAATTAAATACCATAGCAGTGTCTTTTTTATTACATTTACTTCTTCCATTTTTAGTCCTAGAAGTAGTATCTCCGGTTCTTTCTTAAACTTACATTTTAAATTTTTTTGCATTTCTTCATGTATTTCTGTCCAAAAAGTCACGGCTTTATCACATGTCCACCACATGTGGTAAAAGGAACCTTCCTTTTTCTTACATTTCCAACATTTGCTAGACAAATTTTCATTCATATATGCTATTTTCTTTGGAGTCATGTACCACCTATACATCATTTTATAACAATTTTCTTTTACATTAGTACATGTTGATATCTTAATAGAGTTTTTCCATAAATATTCCCAAGATGACATGGTCACCTCCTTATTCATATTTACCGCCCATTTAAGCATTTGTTCTTTTACTGACTCATATTCTGTAAACCATTTTAACAAAACTTTATACAAATTTGATATCATTTTTTCCCTTTTGCCTCCCACACCCCTTCTATTTCATTTTTTCCTCTCTAAAGCCATATCTTTTTTTATCAGTTCTAAATAAATCCACAATCTGTGCATAATTCAACCAGTCATATTTAAAGTCTAGCTCTTCTCGCTTTCTCATCACAAAGTCTTTACCGTCTTTTTTCAAAATGTCTCTATATGGCAACCAATCTTCGCCTTTGTGTCTCGAAAATGGTGTAATTACTTCTGCAGGAACAATGCATAATGGTCTTGCTTCATAGAAAAATCTTCTGTATCTCACCCAAGTCCCATATAGTGATCTTCTTACAAAGTGATGGTTAAAAAAATTGTCCGCTTTTGTCTTCTCATACTAAAGATAAGCATGCCAGCCAAATCTGCAATCATGTCCTTCCAGCGCCAACAGCTTTTTGTTGTCCAGATTTATCCATTGCTCAATCCAAGTGAGACAAGTCTAAAGTTCGGTAACTGAAATCCTCCTCTTTCTTTAGTGCTCCAGATTTTCATTTTAATCCTTGGTTTTCTTCCTGCCCATACAAACTTTGAAATTTCTTTTTGCCACTGAGTTAACACTTTAATTTCCTTCAATATCGGAATGGTTTCAAATAAAAACATTAAACGGGGTAACACATTCATCTTTACCACCGATATTCTCCCCAACAGTGACAGTGTAGCTGTTAATGCTGACCTTGTAATTTCCCCCTCCCATCTTGTAATTTTTTCCTTAGCAAGCATCGTGCAATGCATGTGGTTGATTGCATCATCCCTAGTTTCTACTGTATAATGATGTAACTTTAGCAGTTTGCAACTAGACTACTACACATCCTGACTAATGGAATCTTTGACACCAGGTTTATTGACTAATTTAAAATTTTCTTAAGCTAACATTAATTTAAATTATATATTGCCCATAAATTTCATTAATTGCATTTTTATTTTATTTATATGCAGAATAATCTGAAAAACTGATACGGCTACTATTTAGGGTGTACGATTTATGGCCTACAATACAAACTTGTAGCAACTGCAAATGCAAAAGCATATAAAGTAATCCCACTATATAATTCTTATTAATGTTACTCAGATTTTTAACACATGCTTTATACAATTTTGATGTTATAATCAGGCCTTCTTTTCCCCCCCCTTTCTTAATAATTTCAGAAAACAACATCTGGTGTACATTTTTGGATGTGTGTCATTGTAATATAAAGAATATTGACCACTGAGGAAGGCCTGAAGGGGCCGAAACGCATATGGTCCTTAGGTAGGCTTGCCAAGTCCCCCCGGGGGGTGGGGAAACCCCTGCCCCAGAGGCCTGTTCCCTGCCGCCGGCAGATCGGGCCCCGGGGGGAACCCCACCCCCAAAGCACGGGATGTGCCTGGCGTCAGCACGTCACCCGGAAGTGATGCAGCCACACCAGGCATGCCGGGGGCGGGGGCGCAGTCATCCAAGGGAAAACTCTATGTTTTTCCCTCGGATGACTGCAGCCCCGCCCCCGGCGCACCTGACGTAGCCACGTCACTTCCGGGTGACGTGCTCGCAGCGCGAGCGCACTCCGAGGAAGCCGGGGGTCCCCCGCTGTGCCGTAATTGGGACTTGGCAACCCTATTCTTAGGTCAAAAGATTTTACCCATCAATTGTATTTGCATAATAACTAACTTGATTGTACAAGCCTTTTAAGTCTGAAACTTAGACTATTACTTTTAACTGCTGTATGTTTTAGTTATGTGTACACACTAATAAACATTTTGTATTTTTGTATAATATAATTTGTAGGTTGACCCTCTCGGTTCGCAGCTGATTTTGGGTTGAGTTTCCTCCCCCCCACCTTTTTTTTCCAGATGATGACACCCAATCAGGACACATTCTTGCTGGAACCTTCTAGAAAGTTACCCCATCACTCCTGATTCCCACCTCCCATCCTGTGGGTCACAGGTTCTCATGAGAAGCTAATTACCACATTTCCAGCTCTGGTCTTGAAGATGACAAGGGTTATGTAGGCAGAGAGACCCAATTAGTAACACCTGCTGATGGAATACTATTAACGTTAATCCTTGAGAGGAATTAGGGGTGTTTTGCCTCACAGGTGCAACATGCTTTCTTGATCACTGTGAGA